GCCCAGCTTATTTATATTTTTTAAAACAGGTCTTGCTGTGTAGTTTAGGCTGGGCTTGAATTTCGTAATCCAGGCTGGCTTCTAACTCATGGCCATCCTCCTGCCTCAGCCTCTTAGGTGCTGGGATTATGCTTGGTTCTTTTATCTATTTCTGCAACTAGTTTATTGCAATGTTACATGTCTTTGAAAAACTCCACTGTATAGTTGTGAGAGGATTTAAGATTTGAGCCCTTTTTATAATGTCTGAGTCTCTGTTTCCTCATCTTCTAAATGGTGATAGTATATATTTTTGCTTGCTTTGCCATCTTGTTAGGTTTAACTGAGCTGATAGACAAAGGGATGATTTGTGAAGAGTAAAGTGCTGTGTAAATACAGAGTAGGAACCTCAGTTCACATATACTTCCGTATGAACGTGCAGATTCCCTACTACAAATGATGGCTTTGTTCAGGCTTTCTATAGGATATATGGATCTCATTACAGTTGATGAGCACTCTATTTCCATCTTGTACTCATAGCTGGAAGTTATAATTTTAGACGGTTCAGAATGACTGATTCGGTTGTCATTGAGCATTATTTCTTTTCATTTGCACAAAGGTGGTGCGCAAGAAGCACGTGGTGTCCTGCTTCCGAGATGCCCTTGTGAGGCATGCCTCCTTGGTCACACAGCTGTTGGTTCAGGACCAGAGAGTCTGCATCCATTTCATAAGCATGCTTTTTGGTGAGATTAAAAAGGAAATGGCATGAGTTTTGCATGTATAGCATATATATTTATTTGGGGGATTACTGGGGAGATGGTCTTAGAAAGATGATTTAGGTTTTTGGTGTTATAACAGTTTATTTGGAGTTTTTTTTTTAGTTATAGTAATAGAGATATAGCCCCCTTTTCTAATATACATGAGGCATTTTATGGTAATTTGTCTGATTAGATCTAAGAGGTTGGTAAGAGTGTAAAGATGAATGTGGAAAATGGATGATCCTTAAAGAGTCTGGTCTAGATTTTGTGCAGGCTCATAAAGCCAGGAATAGAGTCTCCTGACCTTGGTGTGACCATAATCAAGTTACAGTATTTCCTTTTTCTGATCCTTTAGTTTCTTCATGTCTAAAGTGAGATGGAATGAATTTTCCCAGAGAGCTCTGCCTTTAATATGATTGTAATGTCCAACAGAGTGAATACTTTCTGGGAGGAGGGCGGCTAACTCATGTTGAATGCTTCTCTGTGTCAGAAGCTTTTCAGATTTTTTTTTTTTAACTGCCAGGACAGTTCTTTAAGGGAGACAGGATGATCCCTGAGGCTCAGGGAAGTCATATTGAACAAATGGTAGAGCTGGAATTTTACCCTAGATCTGTCACAGACTCTAGATTACACAGATTCTCTGTTGTGCCACATTGACAGTTCTCATCTTTTTAAAGCCAGAGCAGGTCACTGAAAATCTAGGTGTTCGGTACTGAGGACAGAATTTAGCTGGGACATTATTTTAAGCTGATAGTTGTAGAATTCACAGTAGGATTTTTTAAAAAAGATTTGTTTCTCTTAAAGGAAATTGTTAACTCCCCCCCCCCCACCTTTTACCTCCCTCTGCTTTAAGGACTGTTATGCAGCGTGGAAGATGGGAGTGTAACAGACCTCTGTATTGAAGGTAAGGTAAAACCACGTGAATGTAGCATTCTAAACTGAGAGTATTAGCTTGAATTGCAGCCTGGTTACTTGAGATTTTGGTGAAGTTACCTATTTAGAAATTCAGAGAACTCAGTTAGCTATTAATTCTTTATGTTTTTCTTGGGCCATCTACCCAGTGCTAGGTAGTGGATCAGGCACTAGGAATAGAAACATAGATGGCTAAGATGTGGTCCTTGCTTTGTAAGAATTTACAGTGTGGAGGAAAGATTGACTGGCAAATAACTGGAGTTGATGAGTGCAATTATAAAGACATGTCCAAAATTCTAGAGAGGTGTGTGTGTGTGTGTGTGTGTGTGTGTGTAGAACTGAAGATGTAACCCAGGGCTTTGCACACGAGAGGCAGGCACTCTGCCTTTCAGTTGCATCCCCAGCTCAGTTCTCTCTTTTTTAAATTACATTTCATATTGGTTCTGCACACAGGTGATGATTAAAGCTGTGGGAGTACTTGGGTTTACCTGTAAAAGGTCTGCAGAGAAAAGGTAGATTCTTGCAGAGAGAATGAAGCCTGTACTGATTAAGATCCAGAGGCCACACCAGTTGCAGTATTTGAACAGAAAAAGAAAACATTAAAGAATTATTAAATTGGTATCTGAAGAGACAAAAAGAGAACCAGCGAGTTTTCACGGAGACAGCAGTTGCAGAAAGCAGCTTCCACTCCTGGGGGTGGAGAAATGAAGGGAAGAAGCTGGAATTGTTAAAGCTCCAGAGTTTGAAGGACGAGTCCCCAGTATAAAACTCAGACCTGTGAGGAGGGGGATGCTCCTTGGAGGCTGCTAGGCCTCTGGGCTTGGAAGAGAAGTCCCATGGGGCTGGGATCCAGACCTCTGAGGAGGGGCGCTGGCCAGGTGTTATGGTTTATGTCTGTGTGTCCCCACAAAGCCTCCTGTGGCCCTGGGGCAGGCTATTAGAGTTTGAATATGGGTGTGAGAGCTGCACCCGCCTGGGAGTGGATAGTTTGCATATGTAAGGGACAGGAAAAGAGTGCTTGGGGCATTCCTCCCCCATTCCGCCCTGGTGTGTGTGCCCTGGTGTGTGCTGGCGGCTTGGCTGTGCTGCCGCCCTGAGATGCAGCCCTCTGCCATGTGCCACTCTGCCTTATAATCATGCCTAGTATGGATTGAAACCTCCACAAACTGTAAGCGAAATAAACCTTTCCTTCCTTAATTTTGGTCGTCAGATATTTTGTCCCAGCAGCGAGAAAAAAGTAACCAAGACACCAGGTGATACTGATGTCTCCAGGGAAAGAGGAATAAAATAGAAGTTGTTAGGGAAAGACGCTGCCACTGCCAGGGTAAAGATGTGTGACAGTAATCTTCATAGGGATAGGAAGACAGTAAGAAACAAGAAAACTAGAGGAACCAAAGAGGAAGGGGCAAGTCCTACCATCTCTTTCTAATGCTGGTTATTGCCAGAGCTTAGTAGGGGCCAGTGCCAAAACAGAAATGTGGATTGTAGAGTTCCAGTGTCAGAATCCCAAAGCACAGAGGATGGGTTGGAGCGGAAAGACACGAGCATGATAACTGACTGTTTGCCCCTTTGGCTACTTGGTGTCCACACACGCTTCTGCATATACTTGAACTCCCTTAGAATGATAGAAAACTGTTTCTACCTAATGAGATACTACTCTCTTTTATTATCCTACCAACAAAGGCATTCTCACTCTATCTTCAAGAAATTGTATTCATTTCTGGGAGACACTCATAACATCTATCTCTGGGGTGGGATAATTAATTTTCAAATTCAGTCAAAGTCCAATCTAAATGTTCTATTATCTAAAAAAATCTTAAAGTTAACCTGCAAGAAAATTTGTAAAATAATGGGAAGGAGATGGAGACAGAAAGAAAATAGTTAATATGTGCAAATATATGCACAAAGATCTTAAAATCTTAATTTCTATAAAAAGTTATTATTTGTAAATTTTTTCCTTTTCTGCCACTTCCTCATTTTTTTTTTTTGCAACAGGGTTTTTTTTTTATAATAACCCAGGCTGGTTTTGAACTCATGATCCTTCTGTCTTAGTCTCCTGAGTGTTGGGATTACAGGTGTATTATACCCAGTTTTTAATTTCCTCCTTAATGAATAATACCATTCTATCTATCCTTTGCCCTCAATCAGTATCTTAACTAGTCAGGGTTTTTACCTTGCTGGGCAGCCCAGAACTTCATACCTGAAAGTTCTGAATCTTTAGTGACTCTGCCTTTTGTGGTTGCTAAGGTTTCCATTAAGTTTTACTGTTGAATATGGAAGTAATAACAGACAATTTAGATCATCCTTGGTTGCAGATGTAGGTCTCTGCCCTTTTTAGTAGCACCAGAGTTTCCCTGTGAATATGAGATCAATCACTCCAGGCAGTAGAATAATCCCTTCTTTGCCCTATTGATTCAATGTTAGGGCTTGAAAAGGCAAATCCATGTTCACAAATGCATGTCTTTTCCTTTGAAGACAAATCTGTGCCCCTCTATAATGGGAGGGGTACTGGGTAATTCATCTGACACCACATGACTGGCTTCTCCTCTCAAGGAATGCCGTCCCACTGGGGCTTAGTGTAGATTTCTGCTGTTGGGCAGACTAGGCAGTAGCAGTACTCAGTTCAGCCTTGGTGAGGGGAAGTCTGTGTTGTTGAGCTTATACTTAGCCTCCAGCTTTGCCACCTCAGCCACTTTGTGCATGGATCCATTGAATGAGCCTTGGTGGCTGGCAAAGCTGAAGACTGAATGTGTCATTTAGTCCACCTGATTGTTCAGAACTCCTCTATAGTCGATGTTCCTTAGAAGCATTCACATGGGACACAAATATCATTATACTTTGTACCTCTTCAAAGAAGCCCATTTTCTTTCCTATGTTCATTGTCACTGATCTTCCAGTTCAGTCTTTCTCACATTTATGACCAGCAAACCAGTTAGTGGCTACCCGTAAATCAGTGTGATCTGTACATACTTCTGACCATCTCTTAGTTCAGGCAAACATATGAACAAACATACTATTCCGCTTGAAGTTCTCATCTCTGGGGTATTTCGCTTCATCATTTTCCTTCAGGTGCACTCTTGTGTGGAACTGTAATCCTGCAGCCATCCACTTCTGGCTGATGCCAGCATAGCTTGAACCACCATCAGACCCCAAGCACTTCACTGAGTGACAGGCACTAGAGGGAGATGGCAAGGGTGGCGAAAAGGATTTGCTGCTTCCTCGAGGTTCCTCTTTGCTTGCTGTCTGCTTCCTGTTTCTGGGAGTCTTGTCTCAGGATGCTTCTTTACCTTGGCAGCGGCAGAACCTTCCTACCGGAGCTGCTGAGTCTAATTTGCAACTTTTCCAGCCTTGCAGAGCCAGTCTCCTTTGTACTCCTCAAAGACACTAGCAGAAACACCAGAAATGATTGTTTAGAAGGGTAGATTTGGGGCCAAGAGATTATATTTTAATACTTGGCAAAGGAATTTACTCATTCTTTCTAGTATTACAAAGAAGCAAACTCTAAGAAGGGAAAAAAGTAAAGATAATACAAAGTAGCTTTCAACTTTGCTTCACAATAGACTTAAGAACTTCAGAAGTGTATTTAAATTTTATGTTTAGAAGAATATTTTGAATATAAAACAAAAGTATAATTATATGAGAAATACATTTTTAAGCATAAAGCATATTTAAGAGTATGTTTCTATTTCTTTATATTTTAAAACATACATTCTGATTTAATTGTTCTGGGGTGGGACTTGAGCATTAATATTTTGTTAAAGCTTTCTACATGACTCTTTTGTGTAACCTGAGTTGAGAACCGCTAATATAAAACAATGAAGGAGCCAGAAATCCTTTTGTTTGAATTTGCTCACATAGTTTAGTGGGAAAGAAAAGAAAAGATACCAGTTAATAACAATGTTCTGCCCTGCCTTTGAGGAGAAGGGCTGCAAGACGGGAGTTCTGGGTCAGGGAGTATCTTCTAGTCAGTAATGTTGTTATATCTCCTCAGTCCTTGTCCAGCTTACCATGCAGCTGAAGCTGGAACAGATCATCCACTGCCTGCTGGACGAGTGCCAGAAACAGGTCAGTACATGTATGTTTCTTTTTCAGTACTGAAGGTTGAACCCAGAGCCTTAGCACTGAGCCCCTAACCCTTCTTTTACTTTTTATTTTGAGACATGGTTTTGCTAAGTTGCCCTGGCTTGGCTTGAACTTGTGATCCGCCTGTCTCAGCCTCCCAGGATGCTGAGATTACAGGTGTGTGCCACCATGCCCAGCTTACATGTGAGTTCTTGAGGGCCATCAGAATCCTTACATCCTCTTGGAGCTGAGCCAGTTCTCTTTTGAATAAACGGGAAGGTGGAAGTTCACAGGATGAAGTGGACTTGCCTGAGGTTGCCAAATTGGTGGCAGACCCAGAGCTAGGGCCTGGGGCTTCTGATCCTGCGTCATTATCCTTCTCAGGTTCATTCCTTCCTTTTCTAGTCTTGCAAATGCTACTTCCACCTGGTGAAGCCCCATCTTTCTGGCTTAATCATCCCATGGTCCATTGATATATTACTAAATGCAGTATAGATTTCCTTGATGAATTTGTCAGGAAAGTATGTTCACTATGTTTCAGGATGGTTTTTTAAAGCAGTGCATTACTTTGCTATTTATTTATTTATTTACTCTTTTTAAAAATAGTATATTATTTTGTGTTGACGTTAGTTTTTTTAACATCTGAGATAAATGTCAAGTGGATATTTAAATTCGCTTCAGTATAATAAAAATTATATCAGTTACACAGCAGCTTTCATTATATCACTTTTTATTTATTTTTCAAAAGGCAGACAGCCAAGCATGGTAGCACATGCCTATAATCCCAGTTAAAATAAGAAATAAAAAGGGGATGTAGCTGGGGATGTGGCTCAGTGCAAAGGCCCTAGGTTCACTCCCCAGTACCACAAAAAAAAAAAAAAAGAAAAAAAGAAAAAGGAAGACAAATGTTCATCAAGAGCAGTATTTAGGCTATTGTGTGTGTTTGCACAATATCCTGTGCCGTGTTTCCTAGACACAGCATATACTTTTATTTTTGCTTTTTACTCTCTTTAAAAAGAAACTTTTCTAATAGTTGAATATAACACAGGTGTATGCAACCCATGGGCCTGAGACAGAATGTTCTGACCAGGCTGTCCTTCTGCCAATATTTTTTTTCCATCAGATTTTTTTTTTTTTTTTTGGTTTTTCTCCTGTCCCGGGAACCGAACTCACGACCTTGCGCTTGCCAGGCAGGCGCTTTGTCGCTGAGCTAAATCCCCAGCCCCTTCCATCAGATTTTATTGGTACATTTTAGACACACATAATGAGCACATTCATCATAGAGAATTTATACCTGTACATGATATAACCTGATTCTTTTTTTCTCATTCCCTTCCCCTCCCTTCAACCCCTCCTCCCCTCCCTATTTATAAAAGCTGTGTTTCCATATTTTCCTTTTTTTCTCACTTCTTTTTCTTTTCCCTTCTTTCCTTCCCCCCTCCCCCTCCCATTTTCCCCTTCCCATTTGAACATTTTCTTCTTATTTCGCAATATCTAATATACATTTTGGTCCTTATTTATACTTTCAGTTTCTCACACCAGAGAAACAATGTGATATTTACATATGTGTCTGATTTATTTCAAAAGGTGCATCAATTTACTTAGGCATGTCTCAAGTGTATCCTTCTTTATGGCAGAGTAGTACTCCACTGTTTATTAAAAAATCATCTTTATCCATTCCTCAGTTCCTGGGCATTTGGGCTGTTCCTACCTTCTTTTTCTTGTTTGACCCAAGTTCATTCTGTAGAGCTAATTTTTCCTATATTCATTTACGCCATATTTTTCAAGTAAACTTTTTAGCACTATTAAAGACAGTTATATTTAATTATAAACTGTTTAAATTATATCATTGTAATTATTTGTCATGTGATTACTATATAAGATTGAATTTGTAATTAAATATATCAGTCCTTATCATGATGTCATTTAACTTTTTTTTTTGCCTTTTTGTGACAGGGTTTCAGTATGTGGTTCAGGCTGGTATTGAACTTACAGTGTAGCTGGGCTGTCTTTGAACTCATGGCAGTCTTTTTGCCTTAGCCTCCCAAGTGCTGGGATTACGAGCATGTGCCACCACACCTAGCAACTATTTAATGTTTATTGAGCATTTTCTCTATGTTAGGCACTGTTAAGTACTTTATATACAATATTTTAACTGGTCCTGCCAACAGTGTTGTGAGAGTGGTGCTATTAATTACTTTCCACCAGCGGAGTTAGGAATCTTGCCCAAAGTGATGCAACTAGTCAGTAGAAAGGGTGAAATATAAAGTGTAAACTCCATGTAAAAGATCAAGTATAGTGTCTTCTGCATAGAGTGCTCAATAATAGTAGCTGTGATAGCAATGATGATAATAAATTGTTCCTACACTGAGTCTTTGTTCTGTCTTCATGGTGTTCCCAACTGTCACCCTTGTTTCTGGTTCTATAGGAGGTAATATATGCTAATTTTAATTCAGCTTAATAAACATGTACTGAGCTAGATACTGACCACTCTGAAAGGAACTGGACTCAGTCCCTTTCTCTTGGGAGTTCCCAGTTGAGTGGGAAAGATGGATGCTTAGCTAAAGAAGCTGAGCGTGCTGAGAGACATGCATAATGCAGATGTAAGTGTGGTGGGGCAAGATCCTTTGGGAGAGCTGTGCTGATGCCAACTGACACAAGAGGATGTGTCCATTTTCTGTAGCTGTGTAACATGCCCTCCATGCAAGGCAGCCTGGCCATCCTGACCCTTCTTGGCAAGTTGGTGGATGCCATCCCTGTCCTGGCTGACGAACTTGTAAAGGAGCATGGTGAGTGACCTATGCGGGAGAACCTGTTTTGATTACACTGCCGTCTGGGGGGCCCATTAACCTCCCTAACCTTCAGTTTCCTCATATTGTGCACTGTGTTGGTCAGTTCAAAAAAAGTCAGATTTTTTTATTGTGACCTTGGGCTGTTTCCTTTCATTCTTTTAACACAAACTAAGTGCCTGCTGTGACCTTCCTTTTGCATGGAAGAAAGAATTAATTCTGAAGCATAAAAGTACTTTTTTCTGTCAGTGAAATGCAAGTAAATATCTTTTATCCAAGGGTAAATCATTTAACTTCTCAAAGCTTTGACTCTTTTGGTGAAACCCTGAGAAAGCATTCATTATAGGGGGTTGTAGGAAGTTACCACTATGACTCCCTGGGAATAACAGCTTGGAGTTTGATGTGGCATTTGACATGGTGATTGTTCTCTCCGCTCCTTGATTGTTTTCTGGACAGGTAACTTGATAGAACATCTGATGAGGGGCTTGGTGTACTCCAATGAAGGGGTGCAAGCTTCTGTCTGTTACCTCTATGGGAAGCTCTATTCCTCACCAGTGGCAGCTGAGTTGCTTTCGGGCCATTTCCGGGAGAAGCTATGCCCTCTCCTCCTTTCCACCCTGGACAGTGCCCAGACAAAGGAGCTACAGATCAACTGCTTAGGTGAGACATGGCGTTAGAAGGAAAAGGAGAGCAAACTTTTGAAGTGCTACTTGAGGACTTTAGATACTGGCTGCTCTATCAGTGGGGCCTCGCAGCAAAGGATAGCAGCCACCAGTTGAGATGTTTGGACTATGCTAGATGCCTAGAGTCGGAATGCCATTTAAGGATGTTTCCTTTGGGAGAGAATGAGGGAAAAAAAGTGAGACAGTAATTTTTCTGCCTTGGATCTTTACTGCCTGTCCTCGTGTGTCCTATACTTGCTACCAGTTTAATATTTATTTTTTATACTTTAGACAAAGCAGATGGGCACTGTGGTTGGTGTCTAAATGTGGATCTGTTTCAGGGCAGGAAATAGAGAAAAGCATAATAGTGAGTGACAACAACTTCTCATAATTTGGGTCAACAGCTGTATTATAAACAGGCCAGCCAGGACTGGGCCAGGTTCTACACTGGGCCCTGGTGACACAAAGATGATGAGACCCAGCCTCTGTCCTGAGGGAGTTCATAGGCCACCATGAAAGACAGTCATAGGCAGTCCAGTGTGGTGAGTGCTGTCACAGAAGCATTGCAGGTGTAAAGCATCCTGAACATGTGGTATTTTGAAGTAGGGCTGTATTGAGTTAGAACATGTTAGAGCTAAAGGTGGCCATAAGGGACCTAAATTGAGGACCTGGCCAGTCCCAGAACTGGCCTTGGCGTAGCAGAAGGAAATCTTAGCTGATGATACTGGGAATTCCTCTTCTAAGTGCCATCTCCTCTCTGGAGGGTTTCCTTCCTGCTCTTTCCCTGCAGCCAGCTATGCAGTCACATCCTTGAAACAAGTGCTGTGAGTCTTATATTCTGTTATATATTATTGTATTGTTAGCCCTAAAGTCCAAGATTCTAAGCTTTTTGTGATCTAATCCTTATTGACCTCTTAAGCCTCATCTTTTACCTCTCCTTTTGTCAAACTCTGTATCTAAAATTTGGCCTTTTTACACCAAGTACTTTCTCCAAGAACACACCAGATTCTCCTGCCTTTGCATACTCTTTTCTCTGCCGAGAAGTTGGCTTTCTTTCCCACTTTTCATCATTCAAGATTTATTCACATATCTTCTTTCAGAATTCTTTCCTGAGGCCTCAGATTGGATTAGATGTTTCCCCTGATTTCCCACAACCCTTTAGGCTTTCTTTTTCATATTCATTCATTCGTTCATTCACCCATTCATTCATTCTTGGAGTACCTGGGATTGAACTGAGTGCTCTTGCATGCTAGGGAAGTGCTCTGCCATTGAGCTACATTTCCAGCCTTCTTTTTCACAGTACTTAGTATCAGTATTTAATATTCTGCCATATAATATTTGTTTACTTGTTGGTACAATGCTGTGCCGGATGTGGTGGCCCATGTCTGTAATCCCAGCTCTTGGGAGACTGAGGCAGGAGGATTATTGTGAGTTTGAGGCCAGCCTGGGCTACATAGTGAGTTCAAGGCCAGCTGGAACTACATATTGAGACCCTGTAT